CATTAATTATTCTTTTGATTTGATAGGATTGTTTCTGTCTAACGACAATTATAGGAGTCGTACCAAACATACATGCGCCATTAATTAGTACGAAGTATACGTTTAATTAGGCCAAACAAAACCTTTTTGCCAGTTTTATGTAATAACTTCAAATTCAATCACAATATATGATTGCTTTTTACTATTTTTGGTGCGGGTTGAGAATTAATCAATATACAAATATTCTTATATTGCTTGGACAACCTCATCAGTCGGATAAAAGAGATAATAAATTAGTAATAATCAATGTTACCAAGCATTTGTAACATAATCTAGCCATAAACGAAACAGCAAATAGCTAAACCTTCTGAGCTGAAAGTAGGGGTGGGCAAACGGAAATATGAGACGGGATTTTGCGGGAATGGGAACAGGACGAGATTATGGGAATCAAAATAATTATCTCATATGTATTTCATTCAAAATTTGGGACGGGACGGGGCGGGAATGGAACGGGATAGGAAGGGAATGGGATGAAAATTCCCAAAAAATCTAATAACATGAAAAATTGACAATTGTAAAAAAAAAATTAAAATTCAATTTATATTCATCTATTGTTTATTTTCTAAATCCTAATAAATAATAATAACATGTCATATAAGATTATAAATTAACCAAGAAACAAATGAAATCAAACTTAACTTAATTATTAAAATTTAAAAGCTTTAATTTTTTTAAAAAAACTAACATAATCCATTGAATAGTAAACAAAAAACCACATATAGTCTATTAGTCATATATAATAAAATAAAAAATAAAATCTAACATAATTCGTTTGAATCTCAGCAGTCAGCATGCATTTAGACTATAACTTATAAGTTAGAACTTTAGAGGTGCAACTTTTAAGTTTTAACTTTCGTTTATATAAAATAATATATTAATATATAATAATGATCAATTTAGTAATATATTTTAAATATCTAATTTATTATTTATATATAATTTGGGATAAATGGGACTTCGGAAATTCTCATTCCCGTCCCATTTCCAAATGGGAATTAATATGTTGTACCATATGGGAAGCACGGGAATTTGGGATCGGAACTGGGACGGGATGAGACGGGACGGGATGGGATGGGACAGGAATTGTGCCCACACCTAGCTGAAAGTATTCGATTTTATTTATATATTACTTTCCCTACATTTTTGTATGGTCAACAAATTGAACCTATTCGACATGTCATGCATGCTGTATAACAATATGTTATATCTATGTCATATTGTACGTAACCCATGATCTTAATTCAGTTGAAACCTTGTAGTATGATTTATTGATAGTTATGTTGTTCTTGTTACCAACACAAAAACATTCGCTTGATACTTCCACATAATTTGCGAAATATGATTGTATTCATAATTTTTGTAATATATATAATTCAGAGTCAAGGTTTTTGGTATGTTTTACCTTTTCCATTATTCATGATCTTTCAGCTAAGGTCTGGCATAAAACTACTCTGTATATAATTTCATCTTGCTATATAAATTTAATTAGTTTAATTGAATCGTTGGCATTTCTTCTAATAATTACTATAAAAATAAATTATATCAATATGATAATAGTTATAGAAACATATTTTTTATCTATATATTTATTGATTTTATTTAAGTTTAATTTTTTAGTATAGTACTAGACAAAACTAAATCGAAAACCAATTAAAAATAAAAAATATCTTGAATCAAACAAAACACTTTTTTAATCTGATTAAAAAACAAATTATTTTTAGTAGAGTACTAGATAAACCTGAATCGAAACGAAAGAATTAGATCTAAAATATTCACATCAATTAATTAGAATAATCAAAATGATTAGATCTATTGAAGGCATATATTATAAAGTAAGATTAGAAGTTTGTTAATGACAAAGACCAAAGTGGTTACTGGAGTAATGATGATTATGATTTATGATAAGGAGAGATATATAATTATGATTATGATTTGCGATAAGAAAGTTTGTGTTTCTCAACAACCCAACTCACATTCCCCAGCTTTTACATTACTAATGTGTAATCTTTGACTACTCAACGGTCAATCTTCTGTTAACGAGGATAAGGAATCTTAGGTTTCACATCTCATGTAATACTATTATGAAGTCGAAGTATAGAAGATTAAATAAATTGTTTATTAGATAAATAATTTGATGAATGCATATATGTATAACTGTATGAATGTATAAGTTAAAGGATATAATATATATTTGCCAAAAAAAAAAGGATATAATATATATAAGAAATAAGGAAAGAGCATGCATAGTGGTTATTATCTACAGGATACACGATTGTTCTCTGTTGTACGTGACAAGGATTAGTTTTGTAGTAAAATTGAATAAGTTTGGTACTATATATGGTTTGTGAAATAAAATAGCAGTAGTTATAGAAGTTTATCAAAATTTAAATGTATAGATCTCTAAATAATCAATGAAATGACATTATAAAATGCAAGTATGAGATTTTTTTTAACATATTGATTGGTATAAGTATAATTAGAAGAAAAAAAATTGAACGTTACCAGGCTTAAATCATACCTGCCATTTTAAATTTTTTAATTTATATAAATACACTCCCGAAACTTTCATATATTACACGTTCTTAATATTATTATTTTTCTTTGTTAATGATCATTTATATCTACCTTTTAACATTTTCAATAACTAATATGTAGAGATTTGCAGAAGAATATGTGATACATCTAGAGTTTTCGAAGTTTTTTTGAAGATTTTTAAAACTTATTATCTAGATCAGTGACATATATAAAATTCATTCTAAGCTCTATGAACTAGGTCCTCTTCGTGGTTTCATATACGTTATTTTTATTTATTAATGCAAACTTTTTATAATGGTGTTTTGGAATTTAAATTGTGATTTAATCATGAGGACGAATAAAATAAAAAACAAAAAAGCTAAACAGAGTCACAAGTCATGGCAACAAAAAGTACAGTTAACTTTGGAAAAAAACCAAAACATTACTACAGAAAATTTGAAATATTTTGTATTTTCAATTTGACGTAGTTTGGAGTTAATTCCAAAAGAATCTAAATCATTTAACCCATTAAGGAATGCTACTTGGGGAAAAAAAAACGAGAAAGAAAGGCTCTCATTTAAAATCCTGTCAATTTCTTAGGCTTCTCTGAATATCGTATGATTAGGGTTTTGGACCACACCCAGACCAGGAACAATAATACATATTAGGGACCATGTTGATCATAGTATCATACCACTAATCATAAATATGATGAAGATGATGATGCATGCTAAGTATTCTGAAGAAAAAAAAACATCCTAGCCTTTTTTTTTTTTTTTTTTTTTTTTGCTTTTTCAAAAATAATTACTTTAAAATCAGACCTTTAAAATCTCTAATCGATTCAACCATATTATATGAAGTTGGCAACAAACATGTTGTCACCTATCTTATGAGATGTACGGTGTGCATAACATAATTAACCTTAAGACAGGTACTCAGCATTTAATCGTCTAGTCTTATATAGGCAATCTGCTAAGATTAAGTAATGTCTCACTCAATACATGCGAGGAAGCAAGAGGGTTGGGCTTTGAGACCTCATGCATGAACCGGACATGATTATTCTTCAGCTCCTTTTTAACCTTCTTTATTGTTTCTTGGGTATTGGGCTAAACCGGTAAGTCTTTCATGGGCCCAAGATTAAGCTCACAAAATATTCACAATTCACACACACAGAGACAGACACTTGCTTGTGAGTTACTTATGATGATTTAAAATACTAATATTTATAGATAGTGTTTGAAAACCGTTTGGAAAAAATGTGCATTCTACTCCAAAACGTCTAAAGTAAACTACTTGATACAAAATTAATAAAATTCATGACGATATTTTTTGTTGTGCATAATAAAATTCATGACGATATTGGTGGGACAATTACAATGTATAAATCCAACAAACAGTAACAGTAACAGTAGTTGAATATTAATATCCGGTTCAGTTTTTCAACATAGTTCTACTAGTATTCTTTTTTACCATCGGGCGACAACTGGCATTATCTTAAAACCAAAGAAGAAGCTAAATTTATGGTGACATTGACTTTTTTTATACTCAGTAAGTTACTATGTGATGTAAGTCACACAACTCACAAGGTCACAAGGAAAGAAAGTCAAACTTTAATTCTTCATCACTTTCGATAATAGTGTCAATCCATCCCGTTATTTATTATCTTTTTAATAATTAGGTTATTTAAGCCTTGTCGACCCCATTTATTTCATGCAATTAATATTTCGTTTAATTTTCTTTACTAGTACTATTTTCTTTATTAGTAGGTCTTTCAAATTCACCAATAGCAAGACTGTCTTTAAATCTACGTTTTCTTTTATTGAGCGGCGCCATTTGACACTCTAAAATAAATGTAGTGTTTTTCTTTTAGTGAGATATCGGTTAATAAATGGAAAATAAATTGAAAACAAAAGCGCAAGTTGTAAATATCATTATTACTAGTATCTGTTTAGTAATTTCTCTGTAACAATAGTTTTTATCCACTAGCGCACGTTATATTTACAACGACATTAGACTAATTAATCTCGATATTAGCAACTAGTATTTAACAAGTGGTTTTAGTTCGTACTTTTAATTTAGGTATAAGTTTAATTTGTAGCTGATACATTCTGTTTAGTTTGTTCAGGTCTCAAACATAACATACTTCACATGATAATATTCAAACAATAATAACATTTTGATAAATAGAAAATAGAGATGTAGTAGGATTTTACACCAATACTAAAATCATTGGGTGGACATATTGCAGCCCCCTCTCAGAATGCACAGGGCCATTTGTAAAACAACCCCATCATTAATTGTAATTAACGAGGGAAAATAATAAAATTATTAATGGTTTTTCTAAGCGAGTTAATTGGGGAAGCCCCAAAGAAAATATAAATAAATTAAAAGAAATGAAAAGAAATGGGAGTACTAAAAAATTAGAACCGTTTGATTAACCAAATTCTTCAGAAGAAATTAGGGTTTTCATCCAATAGAATATCGCCAATCTGTCCACCAGAATCCTCAAACAGCCACTTCTCGAACAAAGACCATTGACTTTGGTTACTGCATCCGGTTATATCTGGTTTGGTCTCATGATCAGGTGAAACTCCACCCTGATCATATGATGAGTCACAATCTTTCAAGTGATCAAACCCCGAAAATGTCTGAAATGCCCCTAGACAGTCCTTCTCAACATCACTCTTGATCACATCTTTTGACTCGGAATCTGGAGAAACCATTTGATCCGGGGAGTTCTGAGTCTTCGGCGAGTTCTTCACCCATCCTTTGAGCAATTTCGCTATATTCTCGGTACTTGAGGCATAAGTGGTAGATGTTTCTTGCGTCCTAAGAAACCCGCAAGCTGAGGAAGTAGAGCGTCTTGATTCAGCGGAGGAAGATGTTGTAGTAGTTGCCAATGTTGAGGTGGCGATTGGTGCTACGGCAGGAGACAAAGCCTCAGAGAGAGCCTTTTTGGCCAAGTGAATATCGGTTTGAAGCCTTCTTTCCCATTGGCCTCTTGAGATGTTTGAGTTGGAATTAGCAGAAGAAGACGATGGAGAAGAAGAGAGCGAGGAACGGTCTCTTGATTGATCAAGTTCTTGATGAGAATCTTGATTAGCTTTGTTGAGTTTCTTCTTCAAATGTGTGTTCCAATAGTTCTTTATGTCATTGTCTGTCCTTTGTGGAAGATATGACGCAATTGCAGCCCATCTACACCAAATAATAAATGCTCTCTATTATTATTATTTTTTCTTTTTCTATTTTCAAAAAAGTTGTGAAAGATAAAATTAGAGAAACTGTATTTTGATTAAGGGGTGGTTAAGAAAATATACCTATTGCCTAAGAGGGCTTGGAGATGAACAATCATCTTCTCTTCATGTTCTGTGAAGTTGCCTCTTTTGATTCCTGGCCTTAAATAGTTGGTCCATCTAAGCCTACAACTTTTGCTGCATCTAAGCAACCCTGAAATTTACAAGAACAAATGACCAAAAAAGATTAAAAACTGATGAGGAAAAAACTTAAGCTTCATATACAAATGAAAAACAAGATCCCATGCATTAGATCTTGATCTCAAGGCCAACAAAAAAAACGTAGCTATTTAATTTCAAAATACGGTTTTACTATAAGCTTATACGACAATCAAGAGAACACAGTGTATATATTTACCAAAATATCCATTTTCAAGTCTATCTCTCTCCCTCATAGCCCTAATAATATCTAAAAATATTCAAATCTTGATTCTTGAGAGAGAGAGAATGAAGAATGAAGAATGAAGAATGAAGAATAGACATACCAGTATTGGTTGGAACAGCCCTCCAATTACCAGGACCATGTTCTTGGATGTAAGTAACTAAAATGATATCTTCTTCGGGAGTCCATGGCCCTTTCTTCACTCCTCCTTTGTCACAACAAGGAGGCCTCACCATTATCTTGATCTCTCTTAACTAGCAAATTAATTAATAATAATCACTCCCTTTCTTTTTTCTTTTCTCTTGACTCTCTTAATTTCCCACTACAACAACTCTTTGCCAAGAAAATAGAAGAAAATTGCAACAGCTTTAGTTGTTGATGAGTCACAGTACCCTTAAGCTCACTAATTAGTAGTACTCTTATCTTTGGATGGATCTAATGGTTAAGCTTGGCGACAAAGGTCTATGTCCACTTCTTCTTCTATATATATATATAAAAAGAGAAAGAGAAAATTGCTGACCCCTCTTGGTCTTGGACTCTTGGGTCTCTCAAAATTGAATATTTAATCAAATATAAAATAAATTAAAATAGAGCATTAACTACAAAAGTGGAGGTAAAGCCTCCAAAGTCAGCTGTGTGGCAAAAGGAAAAGTCTCTACCCTCCACACAAAACCGCGTGGCATTCAATGTGGGCTTGCTCCTTTCAAAAACCCTAATATGAAAAAAAAAAAGTTTTTAATTGGTTTATGTCATTAATAAAATAATCAAGAATAATGGGGACATGCATGATAACATGACAATGATATATGTATGATATCTCCCTCTCTCAGTAGTGATTTATTGCTACGATAATTTTAAGAATTGAATAGTGGCTATGGCATTTAAGTGTAATGCATAGGCTTTGTTAATAATAGAAATTGATGAAAGAGTCTTTTGACGAACGAGATTTTCTCTGCGTCATGATTTGCTGTTTCGGGTTTCCATGAAAGCGAATTATATATTTTTTTTAAAAAAATAGAAAAAAAGAAAGAATTGCTGTTTCGGATTGAACCAGTGGGTCTTTGGCCATTGTCAAATTACATGATGGTCTACGTCATTCATGATGTTAGGGACTTCTCTGTATATATTTCTACTTTTATTTTGTTTATGCGTCTATATATATACATAAAATGTATCAATGCATGATTGGTATGTTTTATTCGGGTATGGTTCGCGATTAGTGTTGATGGACCACATCTGGATTTTCGGTAAATATTAGTTTTAGATGAAATTAGTTGTACGTTACATATGTCGTTATCGTAATGTGGTGAAAAGAGATTAAGAGATATTTGTATGAGAATTTGGCATAAGATAATGAGGATTTTTGGATTTGATCGACACAAGTCATACAACCATATCTATTTATGTGTACATGTGTATATATATCAACAAACAATTAAAAAGATGATATCAATTTGGATTTCACGAGGCCGGAGGAAAAGGAAGAAGAAGAGACACGGGACTACTTTAATTTCTTCTCCTTTGTCAATGTTGTGCTATAGCTATTTATTACTAGGTAGGTTTTATTGATGATTTGTACAACTGTGAAATTTCATTTTTTGTTCGAAAGTTTATCAATCATTTGGATTTAAATTGCATAGTTGCGTTACTAACTTAAAGACGTGATATCGAAAAAATATGAAAAAGGTTTTGTTTACATCTAACCAAAACCAAATTTGTAAATAATACTCCTATTTTTGGAGTGAGAGGAAAACGTTAAATTCACTCGGAAATTTTCATTTCACTCCCTTTTTTTTTTGTCTTTCTACAATTTCGTCATTTCCGTGAATTATCATGCGGAGCCATAACATTTTAGTATACGAATCCAACTTTCTTTTAAAGTAATACGAAATTTCGACGGCCACAAAAATGGGAGGAGATATATACTATATAATATTTTGTAGATTTGGTATTTTTCCTATATAATATATCACATAACGCATTCAAGTGTAGGGATGAATGATGAATCATAATAAGTATATGGAGGTGGAATAAAAAGAGGCATAATATTCTTATAAATACATATATATACATGATTTGCTACTATTAAATGACGACTTAATAACATGGAATGCATGTGTGATGTATGGATGGTGCTTGTGATGTAGGGACGGGCGAAGCACATTTTCCAGCGTAAATACCTATATTTATTTTGTGGATAAAAGAAAAAGAGAGAAAAACATAGAAAGCATATTGAAATAAAATATTAGGTTACTATTTAATTTTTGCCACGAGAAAAAAAGAAAGAAAACTAAAATATTATTTTGTCAATGAAGAGAAATAAAAGCACTGCAAGCGCACATGCAGTTGATACATAAGAACAAATGCAGAGAGTTCAGTCCATATTTATTATCAGCAAGTGACAGTGCATGCGATCGGTTTATCATTTGTAAACCAACCCGAATTGATAACCAGATTTGACCGGTCGTATTGGTTTGGTTATGAAGTTGCTATCGTATTAAGGCTATTGAACTCTTGGGCCTCGTGATTGAATAACCAGGCCTAGTGTCCTGAAATGGGACCCATTTACAAACTTGTGATGTCAATTCTCAGATATTCTACAATCTGATGCAGTCATGATGTTTGGTGGTACAAAGACTAGCCGTTGGGAAATCAATAGAAGTTTAACAAATAGAGCTAACTTTTGGTCATCTAATTCCTTTTTATCTTTACAAATATTAAATGGAAATGGAAATCGAAATGGTATATCAAAAATCCATAATAATAATAGGATAGGATTGTAGGAAAAAATCAATAGGAATAAGATGTTGAAATCTCATTAAATCGTTTTTTCCTTATTCTCTATAATATGAACGTAGTAAAAATGTACAATATGTAAAGAAAGATTGAAGATATATATATATATATATTTTAGGATTGAACATAATAAAGGATTTATAAATAGAAGCGATTAGCATATAAAAATGGTCAAAAGTTATTTAAAATACTAACAAAATGTTATGGAAGTATACGAACTATATCAAAATGTATGAATAGTTTCTTTTTTAGAAAGTTGATTTATCTTCTTTTGATCTTACGATAAACGATGTGTCTTAAGATATAAACGCGAAACATAAGCTATAGATAATTCATATAGATAAAAGATCTTTTATGCAACCACAAAGTCGAAACCTAAACTATAGAATTTTGTTCATTTTTTTCGTTTCTGTTCTACTTTTAAGTTTAAATTTATCAAAATAATTTATATTTTCTTACATAAAAAACATTTTTTTAACATATTAAAATCTACACACACAACCAAATGTAAGTTCTCTAGTAGTGTTGGCCAGATCCTTTTCAAATTGGTTAAGTTATAGTGTTGAACTCTCATTTTGAATTTTGCTGATTGATCAAAGGTCATCGACAAAATCAAAATTTAATATCAACATTTTGATAGAAAAATATTTGGATTTTGGCCCAAAAATTTAAGAAAATTTTAGGAATACAATATTTATTAGGTCCAAATTCAAATAACAAAAGAAAAAAATACGATTGATCTGAGCCGTCGAATTGTATGCTCACATCCCTTGGATCTAGGGCTCACAATAGATCTTCCCAATATATAAACTCGCGTTAAAAGCTCGCGCCGCCTCCTTCTCTCCGCCTGTACCACTGTGACTCAGAGCTCGCAAAAATGGTTCAACGGCTTGTTTACCGGTCGCGCCACTCTTACGCCACCAAGTCTAACCAACATCGCATCGTCAAAACTCCTGGTACGTACCGGAGTTCTAATATGTGCGATGCTGTCTGTAGTAGTGATTCCTGAAAAGATTGATCAGAACTGGGTATCTAACATTTTTGCTGAATTTTGGGTTTATGAAGGTGGGAAATTGACCTACCAGACGACGAAGAAGAGAGCTAGTGGACCCAAGTGCCCTGTCACTGGCAAGAGAATCCAAGGGGTAATCTTTTTCCTTACCTGAAAATCTTACTTTGTTCTGTTCAGTTTCATTTTAGGTTATCTGTTTCGAAATCGCTTCATGTCGTGAATTTTGGTGATAATGGTTCCTGTAGTGAACAATGTGTCTTAGTTTTGGCCATTTGTGACATATTCTTTTGACGTTAAACGTAGAGCTGGAATTTTAGTGGTTAAGTTGACGAATTTGTTGGTTGCAAGAGTGAAAGTGTTGTAAGCTTTGGTAAAATAGTGAACAGCTTCATATCTTTTTTTCCATTGATATAGAGAATCAAGGTTTTAACATGCTGTCTCACCTTAGTAGATTTAGACTTCATATCCGTTTCTTCAGCCAGTTCTTGCCTTAAGTTGAAAGCCTGCACTTAAGATAAGCGTCATTGGGACTTCTCTTGTGTTTGTCTACGGTCGGTAAAAGTAAAAAAAAGTCATTCACTTGCTATCGAGTCAAGCCAGAAGTAGAACTAGCTTATGACCAATCCGATCCCTGGTTCAAATCGAATAATCAAGAGTTACACTGGTGCTTAGTTTGATAAGCCGATGAATCTCAATGTTTCTTAGGCTTACTTTCAATGTTTGTTTGTGCAGATTCCGCATCTGAGACCTACTGAGTACAAAAGGTCAAGGTTGTCAAGGAACCGGAGGGCAGTGAACCGTGCCTATGGTGGTGCTCTTTCTGGAGTAGCTGTTCGGGAGAGGTAAGCTTTGATTTATTCAGATTTAAAGATTTATTAAAATGGCTTTCTTATAGAGCATTGCAACTTATACTTAAAAGACTCTTTTTTGCACCTTTCTCTGTTGCAGGATCCTCAGGGCCTTCTTGGTGGAAGAACAGAAGATTGTGAAGAAGGTTTTGAAACTTCAAAAGTCCCAGGAGAAGACTGCCCCAAAGAGTTAGACGAATTCTTTGTGGAGTTCTAAAATACAATTATAAGAGTGATGGATGACGAGGATTATCTTGTAGGAATCGATAGATTTGAGTTTGATCCAGATTTTGGGCACTGAAAAATAAAAGAGGAGTTTGGTTTCTATTATTTTTGAGTTCAGTTTTGCTCTCAATTAACATTTTACTTTCTCGGTTTGTTTTCATTGGTTTCTTTATGTAAGTCGTCCCTCCCGATATTTGTCAATAAGCTCAGAAATATAAAGCAGGGTTGTGTGAAATATATAGCGCCTTGGACCAACTCAGTCATCTTGATTCTTGACTTGTTGAATCCGACGACTTAATAACGACACACTTCCAACGAAGTGAATAAACCGACTCATTTTTTTTAGAGCGTTATTGGTATTATACGTTAGAAGTTCGTTATTAGTTAGTTGGAATTTGGATAAGATAGAGAGGGCAGGCACCACAAATGAGCCATTCCATATATGTACTTTGTACTTGTTAAAAAGAGATTAACAAGAGCTTTCATCTGATTTATTTGGTTCGTTTATTTGTTAAGCAAAAGGCAATATAGTCAAATCCACTCACCCACACAATAGTTTTGTTGGGTAAGTTTCTTTCTTTCTCTATCTCCCAGACGTATCCGAGCAATGAAATGGTCCGTTACTTCTTCATCGAACTGCAAAAAGGGAAAAAAGAACAACAAAACGTTGCTTAGAAGATGTTTCAAAGAGGGATTTAGTGAATAAGAGAGAGTGGAAAATCATTACTTCATTAAACTCAGAAATTGATGGAACGATGTGGCTAACTCAGCGTCGTTAGAGAGACCACTTGAAAGCCTGTGATGATCGAACCCAAACGGTGGAGATAAGATGAAATGCTCGACTTTGGCGTCACATACCACACACCTGTGGTGCTCTTCAAGGCTCCCGCCTGCAGATTGAGTAATCTTTTGTTTACAAGAGCTGCACCAGAGTTTGTGTCTACATGGGAAGTTTGCCCATAGAAGCATGCTCTCGTTGCACCAGAAACACATTCCTTGCCTTAAACACGTCTCATAGCTCTGCAAATATGCCCCACCCCAGGTGAAAAACAATGACAGGATTCAATGTGTAAAGATAAGTGAAAGGAGTAGAGAGTGAGACTGCTTTACTTGATAAAAGTCGAACTCGCGGAGAAAGAACATGGATGTGTTGTTTCTGATCCTTGCAAGTGTTTCCAGAACCGGATGTTTTAGTGGATGATGATTGCTGTAGGAAGCATCCAAGGTAGGTTCTGGCTTCAAGGTTTTGGATACTTGTGGTCGTTGTATGTGGCTGCTGTATGAAGCTGTCTTTTGAAGCAGATATTTTAATTGATGATAGTTGCTGTAAGATGCAGCCAAGGGAGGTTGGGGTTCTGGTTCTGTCTTTAAGGTTTTAGAGTCATGTGCTTGTTGTACGAAGCTGCCACTGCATATAAGTTCTGGGGTTGATGAGGCTTTCGGTTTGCTGGGGGAGAGAGAGTCATTGTTGAGAATTGCCTTCAAGGTTTTAGAGTCGTGTGTTTGTTGTATGAATTTGAGAGCTGCAGGTGATGAGGCTTTCGGCTTGTTGGGGGAGAGAGAGTCATTGCTTTTGATGATGAGTGGCTCTGGAGGTCTTCCTTTGAGCCGAGAACACTTGGTGGGTAACATCACCCAGTGTGTTGCTGGTCCAGATTTACCTGTGAGGACGGATTTAATTTCACAGAGTTTTGGAAGAGATTTGATGAAGTCGATGAGCTTTGGAAAACCAAGAGAGGCATGATCGAGTTCCATGCCAAAAACAGCCCGGAAATCGGCTTTGAGTGATGAGAGGGGATATCCAGTTTCTCTCCAGTTGTCTGATACGTCTCGGAGGTACCGAGGAAGCCAGTTTGCGAACTTTTTGAGCCATGGTGGCACGGAATTGCCGACGAAACTGGTTTCTTCACCATCTCCTTTTGCTGGAGTTGCAGCACTATGCAACTGCGCAAGTTCTGTTTCTTTGCTAACTGCATTTCAAGGTTGTTTATGTGAGAAGAAAAGCACAATGCTTGAAGGTCGTTTTCTTTGATGTTTATGTAAATATAGATGAACAACTACTTACAGCAGCTGATATTTGTTGGGTTAAGGAGGAATCGTATATCTTGTGACTGTGTCAGCTCTATTGGTCTCTGTTTTCTGCACAAGATGTATGAAACAGATTACGGTGATCACAAGAGGAATCCATAGAGATCATTTTTGTCAAATAAATGGTTTGTGTATTGCCTCACCGTAGATTATGAATTCCTGTACTTGCTCCGCATTGAAGAAGCAACTCTACGCACTTAAGATGGTTATTCTTCACTGCAAAGAACAGTGGCGTCTCTCTGATTACTGTCTTGGTGTGAACCAACTCAGGGTAGGCCGCAACTAGAACCTATAGGATCAAATTCATCGGAATCGTCATAATCTTGTTTCACCTTAGGATGGGAAACACAAACAAGAAAGATAAGGAAACTATACCTCAAGTGCAGATAAATTGCCACTTGCAGCAGCAAAGTGGGCTGCAGATAAACCCAACTTGTTCCTTTGGGTTACTCGGGCGCCGTGTGCAATAAGCAGGTTCATGATTCTGGATACGCAAATGCACTATTCTCAAGTTGGGAAGTAATATCATCATGCGACCTTACTGTAAGGTAATAGGGAGAGTACTCATACCTGGTTTGCTGCTTATGTGGCACAGATGATCCCTTTAGGCTGAATTGAAGAACAGTATTCCCTTCTGCATCTGTTTCGTTAACATCAATGTCCGTGTTCATAATCAGTTCAAGAACAGCTTCATCTCCTGCCTACAGAATTGATGGTGGAAGATTACATTACAACCCTCAAGAATTCGCATGTGTGATTTCACATAATAAAAAATGCTTATCAAGTAACCAAGTCTCACCTGTACAATGGAGAAAAGCGGTGAGGTTTGCTTATCCACAGATTCACTAAAAACTGCAGCACCAAAGAGCTGAAGAAGCACAATCTCCCGAAGCAAAAACATTCTTTTCTGGCTGTTACTGCACAGCGCTTCTTGAATAACAGACTCGTAGATCGTTGTTTTCGGTTTTGTCCACACAGAATCATCATCTTGTGATGCTACAGTTGCGTCTCTGATCTTGTCAATTGCTACAATCAGCAATGCAGTCAAAGGGGATATTGCACCAGCCCTGGCGTATGTATGTGCCACAACGTGCACTTCCTTGGTCTTTTCAGCAAGCAGTCTCACCACCGTCAAGTCCTATATATATATAAAAAGCTTCAAATTACATGACACGCTCGCAAAGCCTCTTGATTTCTTTCTGCACCTATCTAGATAGTTCCCTTACATTCCATTATCAAACATAGTTTCTCCAAGCAACCAAATAACGCGTGAAGGGAACTAGTGTTTAACCTTGTCACCAAGCAGAAGGATCAAGTCTCCAATGGAGTCACCATTTGGATTCCAGCTCACATCCAGGCTGCAAAAAACGGAAACATACTTAATCACAACATTGATTGATATAGATGCAAATGGTAAGAGTTACCATAGAAAAGGTAAGAGACGAAAAGTAAAGAAATCGGTTTCCAAATTTTCCAGATTTAGGTAGAGTCACACATATTCTAGGTTTACGATCAAGAGACGATAAAGCTTTATTCCCTAATTTATCAACCTGAGAGAGAAAAAAATGGTGCGAAGATTATTAATCAATGCTTGACTCTACCTGCCGTTGGAGAGAGATAGCTCCAGAGGAAGCAAAGCGAGTCCGTCCTTGCTTCTGATATCCGTACGAGCGCGTCGTTTAAGCAGCATCTCGACACACCGTGGCGCGTCAGCCTCAGCGGCCGTGTGCAACGGCGAGTGCCCCGTATCGGCAGCCACATCGTTGATGTACGGAACCGTTCCGACGTTTCCGTTGATGACGGATGAAGCGCAGCTGAGAGAATCGTAACGGCAGCAAGCGTTGAGCAGCTTCAAAGCCTCGCTTCTCTGGGATTCCAAGTCTCCTCCGACGAAGAAACGTTTTGCGTGGGAAACAAACTCAGATTTGTCGTCTTTCAGGATGGAATCCAAGAAGGCTTCGCCGTCGAAATAACCATCCGTAGACGGGGGACATTTCGGCCAGGAGTCAAAAATCTGAGTGGAATCGATACTCTGAGATGCCTGCAAATGAATCAAGAAATTGAAGATTAAAAATTTCTGCAGAGAAACTCCAAACTTTTTCCATCGAAAATTTCTAACGCTACAAGTAGAAATCAAGATAAAATCTCTACCAGAAACCACGGAAGAACAGGTTCTATGACGAACGATTTGATAAAAAAACGCTTCAATCACGGAGAATTTTTTCACAGATAAAGTAAAAAGCAGAGCTCAATCATCTTCGCTCAAGCAAAAAGAGGAGAAGAAAACATCAAACAAGCTCAAAGTTTTGAGACTAATCGCACCAGTTCCATCTCTGAACCCTAGCTTCCTCTCTCTCTTAAGAAATTTCCAAACTAAAAACGCCAAATTCCTCCCGAAATCCAGATATGCAGTACCAGAATCAGCTAAAATTTTCGCAGGAAAAAATCGCTAGAGTCGCTTCGATCGGAGAAAAGCAAACGGAGAGCATTCTGACGAACTGATTTGTTCCGATGACAGAGAGGAAAAGAAGAGAAAACGGAGAGGGAAAATGGCGATCGTTGCGACATTTATAGCAGTGACGTGGATGTAGCAGTAAGATAGTGCCAAAAGCAGTGTGTAAAAACCCCTCTCTTTAAAATGACACTATTACCCTCCGTTTCGTGCATCAATGGGTCAATTATTGCTTAAGAGAAGGAGGGCAAATGTGGTAATACAACTTTTTCACTTTTTCCCCTGCAGAGTTAATCAACCAATGGAGAACAAGAGTGTATATATAAAATCACAAATTTCGAAATATTTTCCATTTTCGTACTCTTTTGTCTTGTGGCATGACATCGTAAATAGCAAAAAGTAAGGTTAAAAGCGTTTGCGTTTCAGAGCGCAAGATCAAAGGGTTTGCGTTTCAGAGATATTCAACTTTCAAAACTTGTTGATATACCATAAAAAAACTATCGTTACAACACAAAGTCACCAACAGAGAAAGATGAAGAGTTCATTATCATCTCTATCTGAGAAGAAAATAAGGATCAAAACCTTCCCAAATCTCTCCAGCAACAACAGTAGATAAATCCACCAACGAATCATCATCCATCGACTTCTCATGTAATCTGACTACTACTCGGAACATGTTAGACACCAGAGGGTTCCTCAGAAACGGCTTCATGGCCTCCCCGAGTTCAACCATATCGGAAAACAGAGTTTTCTTGTCATTGCTATCGGTCGAGGATCTGAAAACGCAGTCGGAGAAGACGTAGAGACCGAGGAGATTACCATATAGCGGCAAAAACACATCCTTGTGGTTCCCGACACCGCCTACCCAGCTCTCTCTTTGTTTCCCGACATGGTCTCTAGCGAAACAAAGCAGCTGATTGTGGAATTTACTCCTCCATTCGACTAGTTTTGCTTCGGACAAGTCTCTGTTTGCTAGCTTCTGCAGATGGTAACAGCAGAACTGCAAGATCAGAAGCTTCTCCTCATGGTGATTATCGATTTCCTTGTCGAAGACCCGTCTCACTAGATCACTAGCTCCCTTTGGTGGTGAAGTGTAATCTCCGGTGTTGAAGACCCATCTCGAGAGATACTGGAAATACTCGTCCCAGTGCCCAAAGACTGAAGATAAATGGTTGAAGCTCAGTTCCAAGACTTTCTCTACTTGAGTAGGAACTTCCATGTCAGTGGAGAAACAGCACTTCTGAACATCCGTGGCGAGTTTTGACCTGATGAGATCGTCTTCGTCTTCCAAAAGCTTGATGCAAGTGAACCACATCTCCAGAATTTGGTACGCGTATGCATCGCAGGCGGTTTGAAATTTGGTTGGTGTGGTTTGAGAGGATTGGTGATTTGAGACAAGAGGACCGATGAGCTTCGCATGTTCAAGTATACCGGATGCTATGATAGCCTCTGCAGATGCATGTCGAACATTCACTTGCTCGGACGAGGAGCTTTTCTGTTTGATCAAGTTAACGAAGTAGGAGACGCAATCAATCACAGATCCCCATCTTGGCTCCTCTTCTTTTTCAGATTCGTTTTTGTATAAGAACAAACCAGTGAGATGCTTCACACAAATCGCCAGGCAACACATGAGTGTACCTCGGGTTTTAGCGCGTCTTGTGCTTTCATATAAAGAAGTCAGCTTTTCCCACAGATGAAACACTGAATCGTAATTCAACGAACCAACATAAATGCCTTCAACAGTTTCTTCGTTGGATGGTTTTTTGAACATGAGAAGATTCCACTGGCAAAGAATCCTCAGAATGTAATTCTCACATTTATGATTTTTCTCCTTCTCCAAGCGATCCAATAACATTACCTGGAGCCCGTTTTTAGCCCAGTTCCAAATAACGCTCGTCTCTGAGAAACTGGAATCTTCTGATTTCAGAAACTGCAGAAACCACTTCAGTGTTGCAAGACGAACTTCATATGACTGATCAGATATACAACGAAGGAGCCTTTCCTCAAGCTTAGGAAAATCTATTGCTTGAGGAAGTTTCTGCAATCGCAGATTTGGTCTTTGAGTAATCTGGAAAATATCAGATGCTTCATCAGATGGCTGAAATACGCAACCAAAGTAAGATACAGCTGCCTGTTCCCGTAGCTCAGCGATCGTAGGGTCATAATAGGAGAAACCATAAGAAGCATCTGCATCCAAGCAACTTGTAGATAAATCCAAATGCAATTTGTAAACGTCTCTTAGGTGTTTGCTTGCAGAGCATGTCCCACCAATAACTCGCATATGATCAAGCACTCTCAAGAACGATGTACCGAGGATCGGGCAAGGGCACAACAATGGAGAAGCCATCCATGTGCATTTTGCAAGGACATTGACCAGTTGTTCAATAATCTGATCCTTCTTGGAGTCATCAGCAAGGTCTCTACAGTTTGTATCAAGGAGATTACCAAGCTGCAACAAAACTCCATGAAGATAATTGAAAGACCCACCTTGGGCCCCGTTAGAAGGTAGTGTTGAGGCAATGCGGAGAAGAACGCTTTGGAGTTTCTCATTGGAAACAAGACCTACTAAAGCACGAGATGCCAAAACACGAACACGGAGATTGCTTTGAGTAGAGCATTTCATAATAAAGGGCATGAAAATGAACGGGTCCAGGTCATCTCCAGATTCACTTGCAATGGGTGATGGCTTAAGCCTGGATAAAAGAATGAGAATGGGCCATAAACTCGGATGGACATGATTTGCGAGGTTTGAATCAGATGGGCCAGATGTGTCGAGCAAGTCAGTTGCTGCCTTTAGTTCACTGTATATGAAAGGGTGCAACAAGGGGTACCTTCAAGGAAACGACCGCAATATTAAGTAGTGAACGCGAACAATGCATTTTCAAATGTAGAGACAAGATGTTATAGACATACCTGTGGAAAAATTCAAGGCCAGTCAAGGCACGACGAGCAGATCCACGTTTTTGAACATTAAGGAAACCAATCATTCGACGGACCAAGGCAGTGTATGCAAGTGTGGCACTGTTTCTGACCTCCCAATATGGCGAAGAGAAGGATCTTATTGCAACAATCATAGCCTCCGCAGAAAAACCAGAAGTATCAGTGCCCAAGTTTGTGTCGTTGAAAGCAGCTTTAAGAACATTGAACGCATGCACCGTCGGCACAACACCTTCATCGCGGACCTTTGAAAGCTTTTCACTTGGATGCATATCAGAAGGATTGACTTCCTCATCCATTTGTTTACAATCTTTCTGTATCATGGGATCCAATAGAGGCTTCTCTGCAAGACCTATAAGCCACCTAAGCGCCTGTGGGAGAAGCTTCTTCGGCGAACCTTCTGGTTCCGAGAGAAAAAGAGCAATGAATGCAGCGGGAATTCCTGCACTTCTTCTTAACAGATCGTCCACTGTTTGTCCTTTGGCTACAGTTCTTTCCATAAGTTGCTCCATCCAAGATTCTGTCAACCTACAAAGTCTACGGAAAGATAAAAACAAACACAATATATCAGTGAATAGAAAAAAAAGTTACATGAACCCCCAAGAAGCTTAAAATCACACCTTGGGTCGTTAGAACATAGTAAACGGTGGCACAATGCTGAAAATCCAGCTCTTGTCTTATCTATGGCACCATTGTGCTTCATTTTCAAAAGTACTTCCAAGAAGTGGTCTCCAATCTTTTCAAGTTGCTTTAGGTCAAGCAGTGATTCAGAGTTTCCTATCACTGAATCATCAGGGACTGCAGAAGCCAGATCACCATTTTCTAAAGGTCTAAGGCTGCTGATGGGTAATGGAATCTTTCTTATGATGGTTCCCAAAAGAAGACTCACCTGAAGAAAATAAATAGTATTATCTTAGAATGAAATTCCAAAGAACTATAGATGCAGTGTTCTGCATTCCAGGAAGAAAAAGAGCAGCTAGTCGAGAAAAGCATTAAGAAAATTGAAAACACAAAAAGGTGATGTCTAAGTAAGGATAATTATCAAAAAGTTGACAAGATCAATACCTCTTTCATAGCGAGCCAGCAACCAACCATAACTACTTGTTCTGATTGTATTATTTCTTGCACAGGTTTTGTATTCTTGTGTTCTTCTGAGAGAACAGCGGCAGTATCATCTTGAACATCCGACAAGAAACTATCATCATCTATCATGTCATCCATATCCTCAGCCAAACACAGAGCATCTGCAGAAACGACCCAGAGTGCTAATGTAGTTATTCGCGTCACCAGTTTAAGAAGCTTTTCCAGTTCCTTTCTCATCTCTGATATACTACATAACACTGCATTAGAGTTCCAGTCCAATTCCTCAAAAGTATAACGCATAGCCAATAATACCCCATGAACAAAGCTGTTTTTGCATGCTTCAGAGAGATCACGCTCTCCTTCCTTCACAGAAGTATCAAGCCAATGAATTAGTGATTTGATATACTCAATCACAGGATACTTGGGTTTAGAGTTCTGATGTAAACCATTCAAGCTTTCACATTCTCTTTGACAACAAACAACATTGGTGGAAACCTTGACTATCCATCCAAGGTCCAATACGTACTTCCTAAAGATAAGCCTTAGAGTCAAAGAGCCTGCGTCACTCTCTCTTACTCGTGGACTGCAGACTAGATGTTTGGCCCACGGAATAATGTTCTGGACCATGTCTTCACTTGAAACGCCGGTAAATGGAGTTGGATAATGAAGCAGAATACGGAAAGCATTTTCCCTAAGCCTGTCCCAACTATCAACAATCGATCCAACCAGCAATAACGTTGAATCATGCGAGGTGACAATATCACAGTATGGGTAAAGATGGCCTTGTTGCGAAGTGGGGTCCTTAGAAGGCACGATAGGCCAGACTTCAATCATGATCTGTATAAGTTCCGTCGCCATTATTTTCCTCCTGTAAGGTGCAGAAGGGTAGCAAGATAAACACAAAAAGGAACTCAGCCACCTCATAAACTTGAACAGACTCTCTGCTCTTAGGACTGCGTTCTCGTCACCTTTTTGATTTAAACACGTTTCACTGTTTCCACTGGCTAGGAGTGGTTGCCAGGTTCCTAGCTTATACTGCTTTTCCAGCGACGTACGAACTCGAG